AAATCCTTCCTGAAACTCCCCCCAATTAGGTCAATTAGATTACCCCAAGATCTTTAGAAACAGATGTTCTTTCCTTTGGAATTGACAGTGAAATCGTTGATAATTGATACTGATATTGTCATAATAGCAGTTGTAGTCAATAAACAATTGAGAACTGACTGAGACTCTCCTCTCTTCTGAATTTCTCATTCTTTTTATTTATTTAAAACTTTTGTATGCCATCACCACATGCCTTGGCATCTCAGGACAGCTCACAATACATACAATTAAAATGCAATAAAATGATCTTTATAAATAACAAATTCAATAAAAGATTACATAAAGACAAAAAAAAAAAAAAGAAAACAAAGACAGTGACTGTTCAACGATAATAAATAGCAATTAAATAAAAAGGTTTTAACCTGGAGCTGAAAAAAATATTTATTTATTCATTTATTTATATTTGTATGCCGTCCCTTATGCCTCGACATCTTGGGACGGCTCATAATCCATAAAATTGAAATACAATAATAATAAATTCACATGTATAAAAACATAATTCAATAAAAATTACATAAAAGACAAAATCAATTAAAATATTAATTTTTAAAATAGTGATTAAATAAAAAGGTTTTGACCTGGTGCCAAAAAATATAAACTCGAAGCCAGGCACACCTCTCCAGGAAGCGCATTCCATAATCTGGGTGCCACTGCAGAGAAGGCCTTGCTCCGGGTAGATGTTCTTTTTATCTCCTTTAAAGAGGGCTCCTGGAGCAGAGCCTCTCCCACAGATATTAAGGGGCGTGAGGGCATGTAAGGGAAGAGGCGCTCCTTCAGGTATCCTGGTCCCAAGCCATTCAGGGCTTTATAGGTCAAAACCAGCACCTTGAATTTCTCATTCCTCTCTTTTCCTACTCTTCTTTCCATTGCATGACATCTTTTTGTTTTCTACCGGCTGCATTTTTTCCCAATAATTACTATGTATTAAACTACTGATGAATGGACTTTACTAGGCATTGGAATACTCAAAAGTAAGCAATGCAAACATTATAATTAACACAAGGATAGAATATTCGAGATATTCCAATATCGATATGAAGAACTTTGCAAATTTTGGTAAATGAACAGAAGTGGCATTCTTAGCTCTCTACATTGGCCAAGTTCAAAAGGTACAGCTATCCCCAGCGTGGAGTTTGCTGGTCACATACAAACAGAGTGAGTCAGAAGGGGTCTCCCGGGCCATCTAGTCTGACCCCCGGCTCCAGCCAGCTCCGCTCACAACATGCCCACCATGTGCATGTCCAGCCTATCTTTGAACACCCTCACACCGATGGGGCCTCGACTTCTCATGGAAGCCCATTCCACACCCTCGGGGTCCTGACTGTCAGGAAGCACTTCCTGGCATCCAAACTGAACCTGGGTTCCCTGAGCTTTGCTCCGTTGGAGCACGTCCTGCCTTCCTTTGCAGGGGAGAACAGGTCTCTACCCATCTCCATGTGACATCCCCTCACATACCTGCATGTTGCCAACATATCCCCTCTGAGTCTCCTCTTCTCCAGGCTGAAGAGACCCAGTTCCCTCAGTCTCGCCTCATACCCCATCCCCTGCAAACCGGCCACCAGTTGATTGACTTGCTGAAAGGATGGCTAAGATGGAGAACTCATTTTGGATGGTGGCCTTCCAAATACTATGAGGTCCTTCTGGCACCAACGCCAAATTAAAACTTTCTTCTATTCCCAGGCATTGGCCAACACCTGAAACCTAAATAGGCCCTGGGATTGCCTGCTGATTGTTTAAAATAGTTGTCTTTTTGTGTTTAATTTTTGCATACCCCCCAGAGAGCTTTAGTTTTAGGGTGGTATAGAGTTATTTTCATTTAATAATGAAATGAAAAAGAAACATGACCTGCTGTAGATTTGTTAAATATAAGGATCCTATCAGGGGAAAACATTACTGTGGGATAGACAGGAATCCAAACCCAAATAGGCGATAAGCAGTCAAAGCCCTGGGTCTAAAGACCCCCAAGTTGCTTTAAAATCAGACTGTTTCGGTTTTCCCAAGTGGAGTATTTCCCAAGTTTTTGGTTTTCCCAAGTGGAATCTCATGTTCTCTTTGTCCTGAACTTCATACAGGCTAGAGATTTCTGATCAAAATTGAAGCAAAACTAAATCATCACTCATTCCAGCTTCCTCCATGAATTGGTCTAATCCCATGTTACCACCATTTGAGTTGGTGACTGTTGCCAACTTTCATAGGAGCGATACCCAACATTTCATTTTGCAGGAAAATAAGTTCCCTTGGATGATGCCAATACAAAGGCGAAGAATGTGCGGAACTGCAGCTAAGGACTTCCATGGCAAGAGGCCTGTTTTGGAAATAATGCTGTGAGTTATTCCAGTCTTGGAGCCACAGGCAACATGTGCCTAAATTGGACATCCCTATATTTAAGGTATTGAGGCTAAGAGTTCATCACCTCTGTTTGGTAACCTGCTTAGGTGGGTCCCGGGAAAAGAAATATAGTCAATACAAAGAAGCAGAGGATTACCTCTATCAGCTTGATATCCAAACACGGTAAGTGTGTGTGGGGGGTGATTTCTTAAGAGTAATTTCCTTTGAGATGTTAATGGATAACATCCCGCCCAATAGTGTGTCACAACCCACCTGGTTGTGGAAGGGAGAGTATAAAAAGGTTGCACCTCAAAGGCTTCTTCCATCTCCTCTCTTGACTCTGTGTCTCCTCCACGAAGAATTAAAGAATTCGGTAAGTTGGATCAGATTTATTTTCAGAGATGAAGTTGCCCTGAAATGAGTTTTGGGGAGCAGAGATTCTCCAGATGGATCCTCTTATCCTAGTTTATTTTGATCCAGTTGATTTTGGGATCTGAATTTCAAAAGTACCAATGAGAGAAGTTTGTTTGATATCAATTAGGGGGTGGTCATAAATTTGGCAGGGATATTTAATTTTCACTTAGCACTAATCAATGAAGTAATATGCATTAGAAAATAAAAATAAAGGATGGATGTCCTTATTCTTTTACTGCAACAAGAGAGGTTTTCTTCAACGGCCCCTCATATACCAAGATAAGGAAATCCAGGTTCCAGTCCCCATCATCCAGTCTTTGGACCAGTTGCTGACTCTCAAGTGAACTGACCTCACAGAGTTGTTGTGGGGATAAAATGGGGGGGGGGAGGAGGAGGAGGAGGGTGCCATAAGCCACCTTCAACTCCTTGCAGGAGGAAAAAAGGAGGGGCATCCATGAGATCCAAATCAATACCTTTCTGAATACCCAGCATGCTGTGGCTTAAAGTTCTGAATGCCAGTGACTAACCCTTCGTGAGACATTTCAGCATGGGGTAGGAGGAATTCTGCACATGTGTTAGGAAGCTATCCATGATCACTTGCAGAACCTTGGAGGACCAGATTTGGCCTCCAGGACTAAGATCTCCAAACCCTGCATGAAACAATCATTGACTAGATATACCAAGAGGTTTAATACCGATCTCTTTGCTCCCACTTTCTGTTTCCTTTTAGTTCGAGCTGCATGTAGCTAAAGGGCCAAATTTTCCAGGGCTCATACTAATGAGTTTAATTAAACCAACTCATTAGTTTAATTAAAACCTTTATTGCAGGCAGAGTTGGTTTCAGACTTCTATCCTATCTCCCTGAGGGCAGGTTACAGCATTTCATCACACTGCTAAGATTGTTGTCCTGACCAGAAGGCTGACATAAACCAATTAACTGGAACTCTCCCTGTCTCCTAAGAGAAACATCTTGTGCTCAAGGACTTTTCTGTCCACCTACCTCATGCAGTGGTGCTTCTGACTGAGGTTGGGCCTGAAGCTGCCTATGGCCTTGGAATTCTTTCCAGGGTGCTCCATTCCTGCTTATGACATAATCATACACATGGCCATAAACTGCCTGGGAAATCCCTCACCATCAATAGCACTTCTAAAAATAAATCACATGAAAACAGATCTGGCACCCTCTCCCTCGCTTTGTTGGCTCTTGTCCAGAGGAGATTTAATTCTGCCCACATTTGAAAGCCATCCAAACTCAAAAGTCTTTCTGTCCTACTGGCTCAGACCAAAGAGCCATCTAATCAACCTGAATAATTTTCTTTTGTGAGCACCCAAACTTGTGTACACATGAAGATTCTAGATAGATGACTGCAGAGAAGTGGAGGACCCAGGCAGTTGAATGGAAGTTCTGAAGAATCACTGGAGGTGGTTCCTCCAGAAGCAGCTGAAGAGTACTCTTACAAATTCCGAACTGCTTCAGTGACCTGGAGACTTCCAAATGCAAGGAACTAATATGTGATCTAGGGCAAAGGAAGTTCAAAGGGCCATTACTCAAAGTGCCTGTAGCAACACTTAGGACTGCTAGCTGCTAGAATTAATGACCAGCAGTATGGTCCCTGTGTGTGAAACTTGCTTGCATGCTAGTTGAGAAGTCGCGTCCAACCCATCGCAACTCCATGGACAACATTCCTCCAGGTTCTCCTATCCTCCATCATCCCCAGGACTCCACCCAAGCCCACACCCATTGCCCCAGTGACCTCATCTAGGCACCTCATTCTCTGCCGTCCCCTTCTTCTTTTGTTGTCAATCGTTCCCAGCATTAGGCTCTTCTCCAGTGGGTCCTTCCTTCTCATTATGTGACCAAAATATTTTAGTTTCATCAGATAATATTATCTTAACTGCTTTCCTATTGGCATATATTGATTTGGGATGAGAATATTGAATGCAATGTTGCTCACAAATACGACGGATGCTTTTTCTCTTCCAGAACAACTGCCATCCTGCAAAGATGTCTTTCGGTGGTGAGCGGAACATGTGCTATGCTGCCTGCCCTGAATCCACAGTGACGATACAACCACCACCTTTTGTCTTGACCATCCCAGGGCCATCAATCTTCTGTC